ATAGGATCATAGTTCTCAGCATAATTATAGGCATTGTAACATACCTGACTTTCTCATTCCATCACATTTGGTAGCATTAACGGCTATGAGGGAAAGCTCAGGAATCTCGAGATCGCGATGCAACTGAATCGCATCTCCAATATCGGAAAACCATTCAAATTCGACGGAGTCAGATGTAAAACCCACTGAAAACGAGAGGGTGTTTGGATAATAGAAATTTAATTGAAGAAGTGCAGGTAAAAAGGAGTCTGAATCCCACATGAACTAATCCTCATCGAGCAAACCGGTTTGTCATGAGGGTACTTGCATAGCACAATTTTCCCAGAAGTAGGCTTTAGGTATATCCGGATATCCATGAACACTTCGCCTCCAGGGAAGATAAACATGTAGAAGTTGAGGTAGGTCACCTGAGAATGAATTCTTGATATATGAAATTTTATTGATTCAAACTAAAATGTCTAAGCGTTTCTGTAGCACATTTCTCAGTCAACGTTTCATGTATTCAATATCACGCTTTTTTTGTAAAAGTACCATACACTTAGCTGCAAACAAGGCTGACCTATAGAGCCTACTCAAATGAATGCTTCATTTGATCTTTGCATTACTTTTTTTAACCGATTGTCACTTTAGAAAGTAGTTGTCACAGCCGCAGGACCAGAGACGAATAAATCACTAAATATGAGGCTGAGTGAAGGCTGTCATAATTTAGCGAGAGCTCTTTCATTATTGTATCTTGGATTTTTAAAATTATAGTTAGATAGTTTTCATTTCGCTCTCTGAGCTCATAATGCCAATTTTCGATAATCAAAAAAAGTTCGACAATTATCCGGCTGTATATACATCGGGAATTCAATCGTATTTTTAAGTCAAAATGATTCTATCGAGAGTTTTGAACGCAAATTGATATTTTTCCCGCGGTAATACTAATCGAGCACTGGTAATGAACGAAGGCTTTGTAGTGTTTCAAATTCATGACGGATCATACCCTAGCTACATAATGTGGTAAAACTTCTCAATGGCGGAGCTTAATTTCGATGTCAAATACCGTTTTTGGTCTCGCTATTCGTACCATGGGATATCCTCAAC